TCCTTGACAAGGTTGCAGTGTTTAGCTGGTGGCCCTGGAAGATTTTTGCTTTGCTCGGCGCATCTAGTTCACTTCTTCCCCCTGTCAGTCTTGTTTGAGGGCCGGTCTCAAGTTAAAAGCTTTGCCACCCTTCCTGGCTGCTAGCGGCAGCTAGGTTGGGAATCCTATCAAGATGCTGCTTGAGACGGTCATAGCCTCGTGCCTGTACATTTGTAGATCAGATTTCCGCAGCTCCTTCGCACAGGCAGCGTTTCCTTGCCACAGTCTTCGGTTGCCCGTACGGGCGACATCCCGGGCGGTGTGCCTGAAGCACAGTGACGAGGAAGCTGCAATCCATTTGGATGCTGGCGCAGTCGAGTACAGCATCGGCTGCAGCAGACTGGCAGGTGTGATGACGGTTCGCGGGTTCTCGGAAAAGACGTGAGTGCTGGGCTGCGAAGCCTTTGTAGTTGTTGATGTCCTTTTGCTTACGGCGCGTTTCAACCTCTTCTGTTCTCAGCCCTAAGCCGCATGACAGCTCCGTATGCGGTGGTGTCTGCCAGGCGCTTCCATCCTTCCGATTTCTGCAAAGCCTGGGGCGGCGGAGACACCTCGTGCGGCAAAAGCACCGCGAAGGCGCTTGGCCCCACAGGCCAGCTGACATTGTTGGTTTACAGGGTTGTGAGGGAGGCGATGTGTTACTGGCAGCTTCCTCCAGAATTTTGCTAGCGATGTTGGCCTGGCAATTGACTTCGTTTGGAGTTCAACTATCGCTAGTAACACTGGCGCAGCTCGCACAGGAAGCAATGGTTTCACTCGGAATACAACGGGGGATCTAGCTCATGCAGGTTGGCTTTGTCGGTCCTAAGTGCGCACGGGCGTGGCGTCTATTTGCTCCGCGAACTTTGACATCTCGTGCCGTGAGGTGGTGTGCTCGTTCTTGGGCAGGCACACAACAGAATAAAGGCAACAAAAGCAAGCGTGAATGCCTGCTGCCATGAAAAAGTTCTCTCCTGCATGCGATTTTTGATCCTCACATCGAATTTGACTTCCAGCACAGGCTTTGTGATTCTTTTAGGCTTTTGGTGAGCCTTGTTTTGGCTTTTGTTGGGGCCCTGTGGGAACCCTACGTATAGCTTGGCTTCCTCTGCTGCCCATGCTGGACTTTTTTTGCTTTGACAGAGTCATGTTGGTGTTTGGGTGCTCTGATCCTCAAAAGCCCCACAAGTTTCCACCACGCTTTAAGTCGAGAAAGTTTCCCAAAGTTGCAAGGTGAAAGTGCCAGTTTGTTGTGGGGATCTTCATGGCAAGTTGTCGGTGAGCATCAGGTCAGAGCTCAAATTTTGACTTTTGCAAGTCTTGAACTCCAAGACTCCATGCCATCCCGCAAACGCTGAACTCTAAGCCCCGAATCGTGCAGGAGATCTTCCTGCAGGAGCAGCTGGCCAAGACGGGTCCGCCAAAAGCCCGGATTTTGTCTCGGTGCAGAAGCTTGAGAGGAGCAATTCCCGCGTATCCCCAGGCCCTGGGCCTTCTTCACAAGCTCACTGGGGGTGATCCGCCGATGTATGGTTTGATCGCCTTGAGTTTCTTGCACTGCGCAGATGCACTACATCTCAGGGGCAGGCCTGAAAATGTCTTTAGTTTTCATTCCCTTTAATCCCCGTATAATCCCCATACATCATGAAAAGACAGGGCCCCCAAACCTGCCCTAGATCTGGCAACTAAGCCAATTTTCAGCGCTTACGCCTGTGTGAAGGCTGATGAACCTGGACAGCCCCACCGCCCCCTCCAATAATTGGAGAATCAAACGAACAATCAAATGGAAACCCTAGGTCCTTATGTCCCTTTGAAGGGGTATATAGGCGATATGCAGAGATTGGACCCTCAATCTCAATCATGGAGAATCCAACGGGAAATCAGGAAAATGACACAGAAACCAGTTTCTATGGAACTCTAAGCGGATTATGATAACATCCCTCCGCCCCCTTACTACCCCGCCTAAGTTCCTGAGCTGCAGTAATGTCTGAGGCCTTTCTTCACGCCAACTCGGACGGAGCCGAGCCAGGCATGACCGTCACTCTGGGACCCTGATTGCAGTTGGGATCAGCGTGCCCTTAGGTGGATCCTGCTGTTGAGATCAAGGTCCCATGATTTGGAGCAACAACTCGGGCGTGATGAGATCGTAGCCCAAGCTACAAGAGGTTCGGGAACAGTCGCTAACCACATGGGCACTTCCTCAAATTTGTGATGCTACGACGAGTCCTGATGGCAGGGTTCCTATGACAGTACGGGGCCCTACGTGAATTTCCCCCTCCCCCTTCCGGGAACAGGAATTGAGGCCAAGTCTTTTACATTGACGACAATCCTTATAAACAGCCCCATATAGACCCAGTTTCCATTTCATTTTCATTTTTCTACTCTTCTTCTGATCCTTGGTCCCAATTCTTCTTTGCACAGCTGCTTTTTTGCTTAGCCTGGGCTATGTTGCTTTCGATTTGCATTGAGGTTCCCAAGTATGATGAGGTCAGTTTAGTTAACCCAACGCCTAGAATGTCCTGACGCCTGCAAACTCGGTACGCACAAATGGCGCGGAACGAGTTTTCCGCTACAGCGAAACCGTCATTCTGAGGCCGTAAAATGGGCCCCGGTTCGGGACCTGATTTCATGTTTTGCACCTTTCTTTGCTTCACTTCTGATCAGCGTATGCTCTCGAACATGAACGCTGTTGTGGTTTGGGCATGGATGTTCTGGCAAGATTCGCTCGAACATTGGCGTCATTTTGTTTCGGGCATGGGTGCTCTGGTAGTTGGATGCGCTCAAACAGGAATGGAATACTGACGGGAAACCAGCGGAGTAGCAGCAGCATCCGTGCCGAAACGCCAAGACTCTACAGGCGGCTTACTGTGACCGCACCTTGGGCAAGCAAGTCTCACCGAGTCCTGCGTCACACAAGCCGCAGGCATACAACCACACATGACAACAAAGCTTCCCTAGGCCTCCAAACCTCATCGCCACCCCCTACTGTTTTCATCACAGTCTTCGAAGCGCGATGGATAATCCTCCACCCCTTCCTCACAGGCCAGAAGGCGAAACTGAGCATTCTTCGGAAGCAAGAATGCCTTTCCCTGGAACAACACCATCGCTAGGCTTGGAAGAATTTACTTGTTTTGCCCCACAGCAATACGGGACAACCCGTATGTAGCGCCTAAAGCCCAAGAAGCCTTTGAGCCGCTCGGTAAGCAAACAATCAAGCACCGCATGACACCACTCAGTTGCTGTAACAACTGTCAGTTGGGTCAAGCGCCAAGCAGGTGGAACCGCTGCGAAAGTACCAGAAAAACCGGAGGTACGCTACACATGGCAGGACCCACGTGAATTTCTTTTGCTTGTCATCGGGGACAAGCATTTCACATGCAGGAGAAAATACCATGTCGCCAGTATGCAACTCATGCTCCACAGCAGTACGCCTGAAGAACTGTGACTCACTTCAGAACGCGTAGATGAATCAGCGCACTCCTGACCACTAGCTTCAAAGGGACGTGACTCAAGTACAGCTGCGCGCTGATCTTTTCAAGCACCTCGCACGCAAGCCTGGAGTCCTCCGCAAGAGTTGGCCTTTGAGGCACGTTCCAAACTTTTGCCACAGGCTTCAAGTCCTGCGGCCTGCAACAACTATCCGGCAACGGCAGTATCAAACTCACCTTTGCAAACAGAAGGTGCGTTCTAAGCGGCGCAACTAAGGCCAGCAACGCGCCACAAGACGCACGCGTGAGCACAACCACTTCTTCTCATCAATGTCCTAGCAGGCCACATGGTCAAAAGCAACCTGTTGAATGAATGTACGGAAGACATGCAATATGGTCGCTGGTTGTACTTTACGCGATACCCCGCACACAGGAGGCAAGTTGATGTGCCTGGAAGCGAGGGCTTTCAGTCCTTTTCCAATTACATGCGGGATGGAACGAACCAAAGCACCATAGCCACAACCTGTGTTCCACTTTTTTCTCCAACAAACGCCAATCTATAACAAACTATTTGAGTGCCACACATTCTGGTGTCAATCGCGGGTTTATTCCCGGTAGTCTTCCTCCTTACCATGAGTAAAAAAGGAGAGAGTGCGCATCGGCATTCTGCCAGTTCCCAGTCCCTCCCCACCCAGTTATAGTCATACCACATTATATAGGGTACTAAAATCCCTTCTAAGTAGGTTTGCTCAAATCCAGTAGTTGCTCCAGCTTTTGCCCAAGACTGACAGTTGACAGCTCCTAACGGTGCAGGCCAGCATGTTTTTCTTCGTGACCATTGGGGCTTAGGTGGCTGGATTTGGCAGCCTTAAGTTCAAAACAATGAAGCCCAAGAAAGTGCATGACCGGAGAAGATGCCAAGTGTGACTTGGCACATCCAGCAACATCAACTTTGCCAGCGCAAGCCATGGCGAACCTGAGCAAATCGCTCACAGACTTCGCTGACATCATCCCTGTGCATCGGATCCGGCCTCAGTCTTTGCCCACAGTGTTTTTACAAGCTCCGAAAGGAAGGGTTGGGCGGGTCTCTTGCAATTTTTGGGTCCCTCGCAGATAAGTTTCCTGCAGTTTGGGAAACTTATGCCAAGACTTGGTCTGCTAGATTTGGTCGTGCTCGTGCCGTTGTCCTTGCAATTTTTTCATTGTGACCTGGCGAGAATTCAAGTTGTAGCCCATGCGAGGCAGCACAGCAGCCCGAGCCAGCTGTACCAGATGTATGTCGTTCCAGCGGAGCCTCGACCCTCCAACAGATGTGTGCTCCACGCTAGAGCAGTTTTGGAAGCTCTTGCTGACATGTTTTCATTACTGGCACCTGGTCTAAGGACGTACTGATGCAGATGACCAAGATCAAGGCTTTTAAGTCAGCCAAAAGCTGATCTAGTTGTTTTGGGCTTGCGCCTCTCTTTGACCGGTTTGGGTCATTCCCCTCAAACCTATCTACAAATACTTTTGGGACCCTTTGAAGTACCACCCAGACAGGCTTTCGAAGAGCTCATGGCAGCTGGAGACCTTGTGGAGTTTGACGAAGCCAATGGCCAAGCTCCGCCCGAAGCACTTATCATCATGGAGTCATGAAATTCCATACACTTTCCCCTACTGGGTTGGGGGATGTTGCGGGTTCGGGGGCAGGGGTATTAGGTTAATCATGCCCTTTATATCATTGACCGTTGGCGGCGTGGGGTCGCATGAATTTTGAGCGACACTCCTTCTACAAGTATTTTTGTTAGAGGACATGAACAGCTGGCTCTTAAACCTTGATGTGCTAGCCGCAGCATTGGTAAAAGGAAGCACTTTTGCTGACACAGCCAATGTCGCCTCTGTCTGCAGGCTATGTTTGTTTCGCACCAATGGGCTGGAATCGGGCACCCTGACCCCGGCATGAAGCAGTTTCGGGTGCTACAGGATGCTCTCCGGGGATTTCGGCATGGTGGGACAGATGTGCCAGCAAGCATCAGCGTTGAGATGTTCGTTGGTGATCGGGAGAAAATCACCGGAGCGGAGATCTCTTCGAAGCCGCTGTTTGTGTGGTACGACTATTTCTCGTGCCCCCAAGCCGTGGATGAAGCACGCCACCGTCAGTTGGCGATCATCAGCGACCAGGTTGCAAGTCTCAAGTCCTCAAGGAAACTTTCCCAGTTCCTCATAGCCAAATCCTATAGCCAAGGCATCCCTGCGTACATCGAGCGCTGCCGTTACTTTGCCATCCTCTGCCCTCACGTGCAGCACGAGGATCACGACAAGCTCTTGAGCAAGCATACTTGGGCCGAGCGAGGTCTCCCGACGTCTTAGCATAGAAGCAAAAGTGCAGATTCTTAGCCCTGAATCTACTGAATTCCCTTTTGGAGAGTACCGGGAACCCTTCCAGGTTGGTGTCGCTTGGAGCGAACATGTAGGGAGTTCAGCGTGCGGAACTCCTCAGAAGCCGTCTGCGACACGATTGAAATCCAGAACCTCAGTGGATCAATAGAGGTTCTTGAGTATCACAGTCCCTGACCTGGCGTCTTCGGCATGCAGATCAGGTTGAAACACTGAGACAGAGGCTAATCATGACGGCTAATCATGCCCTTTTCCAACTCAGCAAGCCATAGCAAAACTTGGCACACCTTGAGCTCTGTGGTGCAGCTGAGGAGTAGCTCAGTCCAGACTCGAGCCCCGAGCTATAACTGGGTCAAGCATCCTGTCGGGGAGGGTTACTTCACGGTCAATGAGGACCGTGAGCAGATAGCCCCCATGTTGAAGGACATGCTCCGCACCAAGATGATCTCATACCTGCTCAAGGGGAAGTTCCACGAGTATCGGCTCATGCTAAACCTGCAATCCGTTCACTTCCGAAACCTTCCCCTGGAGCCGATCAATGATCTTATCGCAGATTTCAGCTCTGATGAACGCGATCCCGCCGCCTTCATGCTCGCTCAGTTCATGCACCAGAATGGCTTTGTCAGCTACCTGGATCATACGGAGGAGGGTTGGGCTCCCATCTGCTACGCGGCCTTGTCTGGGCCTCCCTTGCTTATCTCCGCACTGCTCGAGCAGAAGGCAGATCCAAATGACCGCACTACGACGGCGGAGGCCGTCTGCCAATTTGCTGCTAACACCCCGTGCCTCGGGATTTGCGCCTTCCTGAAGCACAATGAGTCGCTCAGGTAGGAATTGTTGGAAAGCCGAACCACCTCAACCCTTTCAAGCAAGCATGCATCCGTCAACTTGTCAATCCCAATGTCGACGGCTGAGCCCAGAGGTTGCTGCTGGCCTTTGAGGCAGACGTGAACGCAAAAGATGGATATGGAGCGACAGCTCTACATTGGGCTGCTGTCAGCAACAATGCAGAAGGAGAGCACGCTTATCCTCCATCTCTTCTCTGTCCTTATCCCCTGTCGTGGTTGGGGTCATCATCTTCATCACACATCATCACTAGTAGTAGTAGTAGTAGTAGTAGTACTAGTAGTACTAGTAGTACTAGTAGTAGCAGCAGTAGCAGTAGCAGGAGCAGGAGAAGCCGCCGCCGCCGCAGTAGTAGTAGTAGTAGCAGCAGTAGTAGTAGCCGCAGTAGTAGCAGCAGCAGCCGCCGCCCTAGCTGCCGCAGCCGCAGCTGTAGCAGTAGAAGCAGCAGGAGCAGTAGGAGCTGCAGTAGAAGTGCAAGTTGTAGCAGCAGTAGGACGACGGAAATTCTAAAGTGGAATTTCTTAAATCTTGCAATCCAGCGTTTGCTTTCCATGACGTTCCATTCTCGGTCGCCGCCTTCCTTTGTGTCCTAGTGTGGACAAGACACACTGATCATGAACTAATTGATGTCCTGGAGCAGGCATACAGATCCTTCGTGGTGCAGGCTGCTGCATCGAAGTCCCGAACGTGCTGGGGTATTCGCCATTTGAAATGGCATGTGCGGGCGGCGGGATTGATGCCATCAAGGACACATTCCACAGCGGGGTGCTAGCAGGGGCCACGCTTGGTAATGATCTGGGGTACAACAAAGGAAGGTTGTTACTCTTTTTTTGCCGTGTGTCAAAATGCAGCTGTTTTTGCATGTCGACCTGTTTTAGAGGTCCAAAATCACAGTCATTTCTGACACTGTTTGCTTTGTTTGTGTAAACCAAGGTCCATGTTCAATTTCGCGCGTTTCTCTGCAGCTTTCACATGATGTTCGACGATTTTGTGGCTGCAAAAATCGAGGTTCAAAAAGCCTGAACAAGCGGAGCGTGTTTTGAGCCATTTTGGCTTGCTGCGGGGCTCGCTTGGGACAATGCTCGTTTTCTCGTTGGGAGTGGGCCGTTTTCATGTTTGCTCCATGGCCACGGTTGCGAACCATGCAGGAAAAAGAGAGGAAAAAAGCATGGAAAAGAGAGGAAAAAACAAGGCTTCGACCAGGTTTGCTTAGGGCTTAGGGCATGATGGGGCATGTTGGGGGCATCCGTATAACTTAGAATGTTAGATATGCTTGCGTCCTTTGCCTTTAGGATTCTGGTGTAAGCAACACGCCATGGATGTTTCCAGNNGCAGGATTTTTAGTATCCACCGTCTGGCAATGTTGGGCTGCGTTTCCTTGCCAGTTTGCTGATGTTGGCCTCGGCTTTTGCAGGAGTTTTTGGCCGCGGCCTCCAAGAAAGAGCTGACTGTCGGCCTGCACGCAGCCCTCCTCCATGGAGGCCTCTAGCGGATCAAGACTTCAGCTTTTGGATCAGCGAATGTGATTCTAGGAGTGTCGGGTTCGTGATCGGTCTAGGCAGATTGTGCAGACGTGTCACGCACGGGCTGGTTCCTTCGGAGAAGCCATGCCGCTGTCGCTACGAGCTTGCATGCGCTGCACCCTAAGTCCCCTTCATACGTGTCTTGTTCTCCGCCGCTTTCTGGTGCAAGGCGGTTCAGCCGCGGTTGTGGCAGAGCTGATCCAGGCCTAAGAACTGCAAAACCAGGATACAGGGGTAGGTTTGAAAATCTGTTTGAAATTTGTCTTACCTATATAAATGCCAGTCCTTTATAGGACCCCAAAACCTGCCCTAAGATAGGCCAAGGAGAGGTTGGAAAAGGCAGAGACCTTTCAGACATTGAGCTCAGGCTGGTGCCGATGTAAATGGAACTGCGTGCATGCCACTCTTCAGCCCTTTCGGTATCTTGCTGGGACTTTACTACAACTTCTGCACTTTGTAACTTTTGGGTTTCCTTGTTTTTTTTTTTTTTTNNAACCCTATACCTTAAGCCCTAAACCGTTTTAAGAGATGAAATGGCAACCAAGGCTTGATTTTTGCGTTTTTGAGCTGGCGGCATCTTTGGAGCCGCTCGCATCTCAGCTCCTACGCCTTCCATCACTACAGATTCTTTGATGTCACTAGATGATTTTGTTTGTGATTCTGTGGCCCCTAGTTGCTTCTGGGTCTAAGTTTTCTGGTCCCCTTCAAGAAGCGCCAAGGCGCCACGCCACTCATGTGCAGCATTCTCAGCTCTTCCTTTGACGCAGCTGCTGTACTCGTGGCTGCTGGTGCACGGTTGGACCTTCAGAACTCGCGTGGCTACACAGCACGGGACCTTGCAGAGGACAGGGGTCGGTTTGAAAACAGTTCTCAGTTTTCATTACCTATTCTTGATCCCCATGTAATTCATATTTTGTCCCTATATGAGTGTCGGACTAAATCTATGAAAGATTCAACATGTCTAGACTGTTCATGAGATTCAAGTTGTTTTTTTGGCGGAAACGATAGGGGCGAACCCTCCACCGACGCCCCCAAACCTCGCATAACCGATAGGGGCCAGCCTCATTGAAATTTCAGTCCCTATATGACCTTTCTATGAGTCCCAATGAAATCCTGACATTGATCCATATATAATCCCTATATTAATCTGCATACACTTCCTGTATTCATTCTGATATGAATCCCTATGTAATCCTTGTATTACTCCTTCTATTCACCTCTACATAATCCTGATCTTATTCCTTATATCATCCTTGCATTTATCCCTATTTCAATTTTTATAGAATCCTTACATCAATCGCTACATGCTCATTATATCAATCCCTGTGTAATCCTTTTTTAGCCCTTGATAACCCCTGTATTAATCCCGATTCCTTAACTAATCCCTCTATGATCCTCATTTTGATCCCTACATCATCCTTTGATATATCCCCATATAGCCCTGACATTAATCACTATGTATTCCGTATATGAGCCATAGTCTAAGCTCCTAATATCCCCATTAGTCACCCCTATAGTAGTTCCCAATACAATCCCCTATATAACCCCCTTCAAAGAGTTTAGA